CACAAGTTTACAATAAAATTAAGAGAAATACACTTCAGTATATAAATTTGTTCCAAAATTAAAAATCCTGAAAATTGCAATTGAAAGAAAAAAAATTGCAAGTGCATCTAATTGTATTAAATTGTACATTAAATTGCTTTAAATTGTACATCGTTGTAAGTATATTCATCGGAAATAAAGGAAGGAAAAGTTCCTGTTAATAAAGATACTAAAGGACATGCTACGTCAGCGACCGCGAATGTGTTAAATTTCGCGGCCGCGTCATATATAATCTGTCAGCTGACAAAGCTGCTTAGAAACCGATAAGACTTTCCGTCTCGACGTTCTCCTTGTACGGCATAAACAAGCCTAACCGTTCTACTTACTTACCTAACCCTCTCGAGGAGGCGGGCTTGATGATAAACACGTTGGAGGGCTTCATCTGGAACCTTGACACTGAATAGCATTGTCAACCCTTCCTTTTTATCATACTCCTTTTTCTGCCTTGCGAGGGTGAAGTGTTTGCATGCTTTTTTCGTTTTATGTGAACAAGTTGATGTTCACTTTACTTGGAGGATTTATTCAAAATTTGGGGGTTGGAAATTTAGGAATTTAGAATTTTAAAAGTTTGAGAATGTATCAGTTGACCCAGTAGCATCAAACGGTACAACAGACCTTGATATTTCCCTGCGCCAGGGGCTACACATCACTCGCTCTTAACTTTTTGTCTCCCCACATATATCTCCTACCCTAAAAGACAGCAAAGTAAAAATATTTCGTAACACTTTGTGTTGGTTATAACAAAGTACGTAAATACGGAGAAAATATAAGTTCTTTTCATATAACTCGAGTGTATGATCTTTACTTACTCTTATCGATGTGGGAAATGAGACAGAGAAGTTGAGGGACATCGCGTGAGAAACCTCGATTCATAGAACTTCTTTTCCGCGTCTTTTACGAGACAGCTAATTACACAAAAACGGATTTCACGAAGCTGTCGTAATATTTTCTCTTTGCTTAAGGAAAAAGTGTATGTATGCAATTTGTGCTTTCCGGAAATGGTGTGTTGTGAGACCTTCCACTCATTCCTTGTTTTCGAAGTTTCAAATTGGCAAATGCCTAACTATCTAACTCCTAAATAGTCAAATTACTAAATGCCTAACTATCTAACCCCTAAATAGTCAAATCCCTAAGTTTCCAAATTCCTAAATAGCCAAATCCCTAAATACCAGAATCTCTAAGTAGCCAAATCTCTAAGTAGCCAAATCCCCAAGTATCCAAATCTCTAAATAACCAAATCTCTAAATACCCAAATCCCTAAATATCCAAATCCTCAAGTATCCAAACCTCTAAATAGCCAAATCCCCAAGTATCCAAATCTCTAAATAACCAAATCTCTAAATACCCAAATCCTTAAATATCCAAATCTCTAAGCAGCCAAATCCTCAAGTATCCAAACCTCTAAATAGTCAAATCCCCAAGTATCCAAATCTCTAAATAGCCAAATCCCCAAGTATCCAAATCTCTAAATAGCCAAATCCCCAAATACCCAAATCCCTAAATAGCCAAATCTCTAAATACCCAAATCCCTAAATAGCTAAATCTCTAAGTAGCCAAATCCCCAAATACCCAAATCCCTAAACACTCAACCCCTAAATCCCCAAACTCCCTTCTCCACCTTCCCACACCTCCAAATTCCACCCTCTTCCCTATCCTCCCATTTCCCCCAGATTCTCCCAAGTTTCCCAAAGCTAAAACAACTCAATTCCCTCTACGATACTCCCATGATACTCCAGCACTCGTTACATAATTAGATATCCCGCAAACTTAATTCATTTCGAAAACAAAAACACCGTGACGTTTGATCGGCAGATAATGGATGTGTTTATCGAATGTCACTGAAGTAGAAGGCCATATTGATTTCTCGGTTCGTACTTCACAAATTATGTACAAAATCGAAGACAAAGCCGTTTCCATTTACCAATAAATGCGCCAAATCAATTCTGTCGCAATATCGTCGATGCACATTAAGTATTCCAAGTTTTAATTTCTCGTTTTTTTTAGCACGGAATCATGGAAGCTATTTGATGTTGCTAACAAGATAGATAAAGATTTAGTATTGACGAAAATGATGGATAATAATCTTCCTACGATGTGTGTCCATCCAGCTGCGAAATCGTGCTATTGTTTTCACCGGCTCGTAGTTAAATTCAGGCCATTCGTATGCAAAAACGGATGTTTGTTCATCAGAACAATGCATAGACGTTTTCATAATTATCGTGCACCGGTTTTAACGATGTAATCCGTTTATCGGTCTGTTTGTATATTGCCTTTCGTTTCCATTTTACAAATTCTGCGCTGTTTTTATAAAATATACGGATGCTTCGTATATAATAAAAATCATAAATGAAAATCATGTTTACAGATTAGAATCTATAACGTCAGTGACTTGAACTTTAAAATGTAACCAGAATAACTGCATAATGTATTAAATTATATATATATTATATTCCATAATGTATAATGTAGAATTGAATTGTAATATATCAAAATTAGTATGCACACCTGGTGACGAAAAAAATACTTGTCATTTTACAAGCACAGCCGCTAATAGTTCAAGGATGCAGCGAAAGTGTTGCGAGACATAAACAATCGTATGCATTAGACATATCGGTTTGCTAACAGTATCAACTGTTAGGAAAAAGAAATCGGACGGTCAAGGTAGGCCATGTGCCTAAATTTGTTCGGTGAAACTGTCGAACTATTTCATTTAGCTTACATAACGATTAGAACTCAGCTTGAGATCCAAACGTAGCATATTTCATACTTTATTTGTGACGTGGGTCAAATAGTTGGATGTCACAGTGTGGTTTGGATTTAGGTGGCAGAGTTTTAGGTGGTACAGTTTGAAGTAGCACTGGTAATCACTGGTACTCTGGTTGAGGATCGTTCACCACATTTTCTTATATCCACTGGGCTAATGACCATGGCAGTCGATGCCCATAACATTAATCATCATCATCATCATCATTTTCTTATAAATCTCTAGCAAATTGATCACAAATAAACTTGTGATCTAAAGCTGATCACAAGTAACTCATCACACAAAAAATTTCTAACACAAACATATAAATTTGTATTAAATTTTCTTGCTAACGAAAAACACCCATATTTCACACAAATATTTCTCCAAAGACACGTGACGAGGTGTGACAAGTATAGTGACGCAAATATGAAATCCCATGATCAGATTTCTCAGAAGAAAATTTGAATAACCAAATGCAAATATATAAACGAATGCTAGTATCTGTGACGTAGCAATCTTTGGACATTTCCACGTTTCACGAAAGGTCACTCTTGTACGAAAAAAAACTTCGAGAATAAGAGAATTATACATTTTGAAGTTAGTTCTCCATTGTTAAGATATGCTTCAATGTCGAGCAACATTTTGCTGATGAAATAAACGGTAAGGTAACGTCACTATACAATTGAACGCATTAGAATTTCCTTACGCATAATCCAAGGATCTTTCAAAATGTTAAACAATTCTGAGACTGGCTTTCGATTTTGTTGGTAAATCCCGAACATGCAAATTTATCAGATACAAAGAAATATCTCGGAAATTACTGGTCGGGTTTTACCATAAAACGCGAATTATTGTGTCGTAACGCTTTTATGATTCGTCTGAGTTATTAATTGATCCGGTGCAGAGATTCAGATTAAATGAAAACGTTTTGTATTAAATTGTGGTTGCATAAATGTACGCAATTAGCGCAATAAATGTATGATATGTATATGGAGATTTTGTTGAAAATATTTCAATAGACATCCCTTGTATCACCACCCTCTTATATTGCCATTCATTTGCTAATTTAAAAAGTGAAGCTGTTTCAAGTTTTCTCATTTCATAATTTAATAATGTGACATTTTATGAATTTGGAAATTTCTGTTGCTAATTAAGGATTTCTTAGTGTCTCCATTGCTATCCCTTAAATTTGTGTATTTGAAAATATGAAAATATGAAAATGTTGACATGAATGTGAAAATTGACTGAGTGTGAAAATTAACAAACTTCTAAATTTAAATAAGAAAATATCTTAATATCTAAATAACTACATCTAGAATTTGAAAATATGAAAATATCTTAACATCTAAATAACTAAATCTTTAAATTCAAAATTAAAAAAAAATGAAAACTCCAAATTTGTAAACTGAAAAGCACGAAAATATCTAAACCTTAAAAATGCACATAAGCTACAGAAAAGCTTAAAAATGTAAAAATTTAGAAATGTAAGCACGTAAAGCATGTAAACACGGTTTCCGGAGCAAGTGCTTTACCCGGCGCAAACGAGGCACTGAATAGATAAATAGTGTTACGAAGGTGATCCTTGAAAACCATTATTGTATTACAATTAAATCGATAAGTTAAACAATAGAACCGTTAGTCACTTTTCACCTTGGCAGTCAGAGTGTTAACAGTTAAGATTGAAGCTGTTACATACAACGGTTATTAAAGTTCTTAAGATAATTGAACATAAATGCGTGAACACGCGTTCAACATCGGAGATGTTCAATTAAGACGATAATCGAAAAGGAAGCAGTTAACGAACATCCACGATGGCCGTGACCGATCAATATACATAAGGGCAGTTCTCATTAATCGGCAATAACCGATACGACTTTTCTGTGACATTAATCTATATTCCTGGAGAAACTTTATCTTTTTAAATAGGATGCTATTGGTGGAGCAACTGCGACATGAAAGGGGTTAGCCCCTGGGGTAGGTTAATTTTGTGAAACAGCAGCTTCAATCCACAATCTCTATTATATGTTATCTACTATAAATAACAATGATACTACATCATAGTCTGAGATAATAGATAATTTCTTTTCGTGCAATATTTTGGAAACGAAGAAAATTATGCCACAGTTTAACTCAAATGATAGTTCATGTAATTTCGAAAACAAACAGTGGGAACGACTATGAATTTAATGACCAACCTATCCATTGATTCTACAGGAAGAATTATATCTTTCGAACATGAAACGACAAATTGAAAAATTAACAGATTGATGGTAATTTCATAATATCACTATTCCCACAGTAATTGTATATACCCACTGTCAGCAGAACTAAGTGGGTTCGTCGGTTAATCGCTAATAGCGAATCATAGCAATGTTACTTAGAATTATTAGATTTTTTATGACTTCCTCATTACATAAAATTCGTGATACGTTAGGCGTGTAACATCGAATCGCTGTTATTCAATCGAACATGCCTATATTTTGCTTTGCAACTTGTACCTCCAGGACCATAACTCTCTCTTGGAAAGTAAACGTTGCAATTTCGTATGTAACTCGGTATTGCAATCTTCGGATTCTGTGTTCCAGTTGATCATTTCCTATGTTATTACGTTCGATTATCTTTTGTATCCGAACGAGTTATGAAATCACGTTTGTCTTCGGCGTGTCGAGTTACGCATAAATGTGCGGTAAGTGGAGAAGTACAAGGCGATTGTTACGAGTGATTTTACTCCAGTTGAAACGTGTTAATGTAGTCACGTGGAGTATCTTAAGAGAACCTAGGCACGAGCCTAACAAAGAGAATCCACCTAGAAATTCTACAACCACCAAATTACTGAAATTACAAATAGTTTCCCAATTTAACAAAGTATTCAGGAAATATATTTCACAAATTATACGCAAACATATAATCCCCACGCAACTGACCGACGATGAATAATATTTTCTCCAAAATTCAGTAAATAAAAACTTTTATCTGCAAGTTTATTAGCCGGAACGTCGAGAAACCTGTCGAAATGAATTTTGAAATGCTTGCATTATTTCACAGGCAATTCTGCGAAATACGTTCCATAACTAAAACGTATCGCGTTAATCGTATTTGTTCCTCGTGTCACGTAGAATCCAAGTTAATTGGATCTTTCAGAATCGTTGTAAGATTATCTGACATTCTTCGCGCAGAAAGCTATTATGTCAGAAACGAGCGTTGTTTTACGTAATCCAATGTGTGACGTTCTGCGTGTGTTGGATTCGCATCCGCGGAAACATGTGCATACGTAATAACAGTTCACACGTGATACCTGTTGCACCTCCGACCAGATTATAGAATCAAGATACATTGTAGCTGATTGCATAATTACACGTTTTTCTTGTACTCGTCTGTGACGTATCGATGGGTGACGTACTTGTTTCCTGCCGATGTGTGACGCGATTGCAATCTATTAACTTCTGTCACATGGCTCGAATTCCGAAATTTTTTGCTGTTTATTCCTTTTGCTCTTCTCGAACATATTTCTCTAACCATAAATCGATGACTAGCTGATGTTTGTGACATTGTGAAGGTTTAACACGTGTATTATTGTGAAATGTACCTTCTTCCTAGATTCTTAGACTTGTTTGATTATAGACCTAACTGCTCCTAGACCGCCCCTCTCTGTCCTTCAGCTCTCATCGCTCGAAAATGATTATGACAACTTTTTCAAATCGATCATTAAAATCAATTCTCACCGCTCTTGAATAATTACGATAGATTCAGTCGAATCGAATCGTGCAATATCGATTACTTCACCTTGAAGGATAGAACACAAAAAACAGTGAAATTTAAAAAAGAAGCATCGAGGATAAACTTGAAGCTTTCTTCAACGAAACGTTACACGATAAAAGTAGTTCCTCTGCAGCACGTAATCGCGCGATTATCCAAAGTCGCCGAAGCGTAAGCGAGCTGTCTTTGCAGGGAAAATTGAATTTCTTCGTTCCGATGGATTCAGCCGGTGCAAAAACCGACATAACACAGAGAGATCGGTCAGCGTGTGAGTTCGATCGTTTCTCATAATCGGAATGCAGAATCGCATAACTTTTATACTCCTGTTGCGTAACAGGCGGTAAGAGTTGATCAGGAAGAACAATTAGAAAGTGTACGATGGCGTTCTGGCGCATAAGCGGACTTACACGATCATTCGAGGCTATGTTGCATAAATATCCACCACTTTCTCGCTCTCCATACTTACGTGCCCGTGGCTTTATACCTGACCACCTCTCCGTTCGGTCCTGTGCCCGATGAAGAAGGTCCCTCTCTTCCAACTTTTTCTCTCTTTCTCCTACTCTTTCACCTGGGCACGATTCAATTTTACGCACATCGCGGAGAACGTCGGGACAGTGATCGCCAGAACACAGTGCACGCTTCTTCAATCGTTTTCTTATTTTTACTACGCGAGATTTCGGACAGTGCTCAGTTGTGCTCGACTTTGTCGGATATATCCGCTGCTTTGCGAATTTGTGTTTGGTTAGACGGTTCGTGTGTTATCGGTCTAATCGGTCTCGGTCAGTTCACGATTCTGGTGAATTCGCGTTCAATCTAATCAATGCACGTTGACTTCTTACGGATCTCATCGGATATCATCGATTTTTTCTCAGTCGGCTCGTGTCGATTTCTTCTCAATCTGAGGCAATTAATGTCGATTTTGTACCGAACTAGTTCATGTCGATTTCTTACGGATTTCGTACCGAATTAATTCATGTCGATTTCTTACCGATCTGAACCAGTTAATGTCAACTTCGTACCGAACTCAATTCGTGTCGATTTCTTACCAATTTCGTACTGAACCAGTTCATGTCGATTTCTTACCGATCAGAACCATTTAATGTCAACTTCGTACCGAACCCAACTCATGTCGATTTCTTACCGATTTCATACCGAAACAGTTCATGTTGATTCCTTACCGATCAGAACCACTTAACGTCACTTTCATACCTATCTCAGCTTATGTCGATTTCTTACCGATCTCAACCAGATAATGACGATTTCTTACCGATCTCCTCATTCTTGCGAATCTACATTACCAATATAGTCAATTTACACCAATTTCTTAACGATCTCACCGCTCCACATTAATTTGTTACCGATCTTGTCAAATTTTTCGTTGATTCCTTACCGATCGTGTCTGTTATCTATGATCGATAACCAAATCTGTCAAATTAGTGCCGATTTTTTACCGATCTCCTCAAAATCGTGCCGATTTCTTACCAATCTCGTTGCTTTCTTATCAGCTTCGTCAATTAATATTAATTCCTTACTTCTCTCGATAAATTCTTACCGATCTCATCGCTTAACATCAGTTTCGTGAACCAGAACCATTTCCCCGACTGTGAACCCATCACTTTCTTGCAGATCTCATTTTTATCGATCACGTTTCTGCCCTACGTTTTCCACCGTTCTTGACCGACTATTACAGTTCTCTCGTCAACGTGCAACACGTACCGTACTTATATACGCGAAGAGGAAATCCTTTCCCTCTCGTGCACGAAGATCGACAAAGTGTGCCGATGTTTCCAACGGCGTGTCGCGCTAAATAACCACGCGAGTGCGTTCACTGTTACAAATATGTTCGCGAAAAATCGTGCTACTGACTTTGACCTTGTTATTGTTCTTTGTCGTCGGTGTGTCATAAATTGTACATAATTTCTGCATATCTTAGAAGTGGAGGTACGATTTTTCTTCACATTAAAATGGTAGTTCGAATAAGTGGCTGATGTTGGAGCACAGAACGGTGTTCTAATTTGTATTTGATGATTGATCGTAGTTGACGAATCTCGCGACGAAAATATCGTCGCCTACGCATTAAAAGGCAAAAAACAAACGTAGGAGGAAAGGACAAGAAAATGGAGTACGAGAACGACGAAGATCGTTTCACGCGGGTGAGTTTTCACGCGTCTCGTTAATTACCATAAATAATTGATTTCATAATATTACAAGTTTCTTGCGTTCTTTTTTACTCTGGTAGAAACGTTCGCACTCTTTGCAGTCATTAAACGTCTGTCGATAAGAAGTTCGCGATTGATCGAGCGTGAATGGAAAAATCATTGATCGATAACTGTGCGCAACTTACAAAACCGCCTGTTCAAGTTACTGAGAGTTTCGATCGAGAAAACTTTGATCTCGTACAAAGTACCTTTAGCTTTTTATCTTGTGCAGTCATATGTCATGTTTAAACGACTGATTTGGAACGAATGTGTGTCGAGTTGTTTCGCAAATCACCGACGATAAATCTTTAGACTTTTTTTGTGGTTTTGTTGATTTTTGGATGGGGAGCCTTTGGTGACTCGGTGATTTTTGGGGGAGGGAGGATTTGGGAGCTTGGGAATTTGGGGGAGGGAGAATTTGGAAGCTTGGATATTTGGGAGATGGAGAATTTGGGGGAGTGAGAATTTGGGAGCTTGAGAATTTGGGAGAGTGAGAATTTGGAAACTTGGGAATTTAGGAGATTGAGAATTTGGAAGCTTGGGAATTTGGGAGATTGAGAATTTGAGGGAGTGAGAATTTGGGAGAGTGAGAATTTGGGGGCTTGGGAATTGGGGAGAGTGAGAATTTGGAAATTTGAGAATTTGGGAGAGTGAGAATTTGGAAGCTTGGGAATTTGGGAGAGTGAGAATTTGGAAGCTTGGGAATTTGGGAGATTGAGAATTTGGAAGCTTGGGAATTTGGGAGATTGAGAATTTGGGTGCTAGAGAATTTATGGTTTTGTTGATTTTTGGATGGGGAGCCTTTGGTGACTCGGTGATTTTTGGGGGAGGGAGGATTTGGGAGCTTGGGAATTTGGGGGAGGGAGAATTTGGAAGCTTGGATATTTGGGAGATTGAGAATTTGGGGGAGTGAGAATTTGGAAATTTGAGAATTTGGGGGAGTGAGAATTTGGAAGCTTGGGAATATGGAAATTTGAGACCTTAGGAGCTTGAGATTTTGTAGAATTAAGAATTTGATCGTAGAACTAAAAAATATTTTCGCAAACATCCAGTGCGAGGCACACGATTAATACAGTCTTAGATATTACTAATTGTCGTCGCTATTACCAGAGTTCATCGACCTCGGCAATAAACGGTTCGATCTGTTAGAATGATAATTAGCAACGATCGCCGCGATCGTCAAGGAATATGTTATTGCGAATAATGTATTTCCTCCTGATCGTGAGACACGTTATAAATAAACATGTACGAAGCTATCCAGAAACGGTGAAAAATGAATTCAAAGAAACTGAGAGAGGTAAGAGGATCGAGAGAGTTTATTTTTCCACAGGCAACGAACGCTGAGGACAGGCATCGCTTGAATACAAATGCGCCTTAAAACACAGATGAGGAGTTCTATTTCAAGCACGGATTCAACGTCAGCAGGATATACATGGTGTTCGATTACTGCGATATATGTTTTCCGCTGTCGTGGAAATTTTAAACTTTCACTTAACGATGATGGGATATCATTAAATAGCTATGGTTGAGTCATGGTCGAACTCTGGGGTAACACAAAGTCTTAAGCTTCCAAATTCTCAAGCTCCCAAATTCTCAAGCATCCAAATTCTCAAGTACCCAAATTCTCAAGCTCCCAAATTCTCAAGCTCCCAAATTCTCAAGCACCTAAATTCTCAAGCACCCAAAGTCTCAAGCTCCCAAATTC